CCTTAGTTTGAGACTGGATTCACACAAGTGTTCCTCCAATTCACTCAAACCAAGACTCTGATGCCAACTTGTAACATCCATAAAATTCAAGCCAATTTAAAAAATTTCAAGCATTCAAAAACCATTATTTATTACAAAAAATTTTCAAAATAGTTTCATATCAGAGTATCCCAGAAATCAAAATCATAAAATGTGAGGAGGTGCACGATCAAGCTTTCGCCTTCCCACGATCATCTGAAGTACCTGAAACAAAATCAAAAACTGTACGCCCGAAGCTTAGTGAGTTCCCCCAAAATATCAACGTGATACAATCAAAACAATATCATAGCAAACATCATGCATATAGAGTCTACAGTATGACTGGACCGCCCTCATCGGGCCTTCAGTCTTTTTGGCCCACTCTCAGAGTCTACAGTATGATTGGACCGCCCTCACCGGGCCTTTAGTTATCTGGCCCACTCTCAAAATCTTCAGCATGTCTGGTCCGCCCTATCGGGCCTTCAGCCTGTCTGGACCGTTCTCCGGGCCTTCGGCCTGACTAGTACGCCATGATGGGTCTGCAGTCTATCTGGGCTGCCCTGGGTATGTTGGCCTAAAGCACAAAGAAAGACCGCCTCAACCCACCTCCAATCATACAAATAACACATAATATCATACGCTAGCTAGCATGTATAGATAATCATACAGATCTAACTGATCACTAATCATATCATCATCCTATATACCAGGATACCGATCTAACAAATCACTAAACATAGCATCATCCTATAACCAGGATACAGATCTAACAGATCACTAACATAACATCATCCTATAACCAGGATACCGATCTAACAGATCACTAAACATAGCATCATCCTATAACCAGGATATAGATCTAACAGATCACTAACATAGCATCATCCTATAACCAGGATACAATCCAAAAAGGGTCGGCCTTGGTGCCTTAGACCCTGTTGATATAGTGAGAACTCACCTTACAATTTCGAACTGAACTGAAAGAATCAAGCTCCCGAATCACAGCTCCAAACTAAAACACCTACAACCACCATAGGACTAATTCCATCAAGACCCAAATTACCAAAATACCCTTAAAGTCAAACTTGGTCAACCATGGTCAAAGTCAAAGTCAACTGTCAAGGTCAACAGTCCATGTTGACCCAACTCGTCGAGTGCGGCTTACAGACTCGTCGAGTTACTTCAAAACTCAGAAACCCGAGTCAACTTGCCTAGTTACCAAACAACTCGTCGAGTCCATGTAGTGTCCAGAAGGTTTGGAAAAACCCTAACCAACTCGTCGAGTTGGCTATGCAACTCGTCGAGTTCCTTCAACCTTTTTTCTCATTCATACGCTTTTAAGCGAAACCCGGGCTCCAAACTGTAGATCTAGCCTCCTAAGGTGTAGTTACCATGTAAAGTTGCCAACTTTACGTGCATGCAAGGCCTCAAGAGGTTAAAACACCCAAAACTAGTCTTAGGAAGAGGTTAAAGGCATGGAGAAAGGCCAAGACTAGATAAAGCCGATAACTTTATGGCTATGGGGGTCTAGAAGAGTCCAGATCTGAACTCCTCACTTCAAAATGTGCTCAATACCATAAATGCTTCAAGAATAGGCTAGAAATCACCCTAAACTCTTAAATGGAGAGATCTAACAAGAACATGATCAAGGTAATGACTTTTTACCTTCAAATGAATGCCAAAACGAAGTAGATGCTGGATCTACAAGCTCCTTCTCGTCCCAAGCTTCTCAATCTTCAAGTCTCTTCAAGAAACGCACCAAACACACACTCTTTAGCCTCACACACACTCAAAATAGAAGGTTAGCTCGATTAGGGTTTGTTTCTGGACGTGAAGGTGGTAAGGGAGGCTGGAGGGAGGACTTAAGGTCCTTTAAATAGGGTGCAAACCCTAAAAATTAGGGTTTTCAAGCACAGCCTCAACTCGTTGAGTTGGGGTCCTCCAACTCGTCGAGTAGACTTGAAAAGGATGTGCGGCCATTAAAACTCAACACGACGAGTTGGCGCCTCCCAACTCGTCGAGTTGCCCTGGGGAAAATACATATGAAGCTTAAAATTCATTCCTGAAAATTGGGATGTTACAACCGCCTATCGTCACCACCAACTACCATCCCTCGGATTTTTTTTCTTTTTTTCAAAAAACACTCATAAAAAACCATATATATTATTAAACCTCAACTTTATTTTTATTTTTTTATTTTTTTTAAGAAAGACCTTGCATTTTTTTCATTTTTTCCGATAAAACCCTCAACTTTTTATTTTTATTTTTCACCTAAAACCTCACATTTGACAAGTTTTTTCGGAAAAAAAAGGCTGCTAAAAGAGCTGAATAAAAAATGGAAAAATACAATGTCTTTTTCAGAAAAAAATAAAGTTGGGGTTTAATCTCGAAAAACCACAATATATGAAGTCTTTTATGATATTAACGTTTTTTATATAACAGAGTTTCTATAGATTAGATACCTAGACTGTACCCTTTTGAGGAACATAATAGACTTCCTCACATGTATTACAATATAATCATGATGGAGGCATAGAGATGTACTTCATATATCGCAAGCATTTTCAACATTTACTAAGCGCACATCCCATATTAGAAAGTGGAGAAAATTGTGCTTCAAACGATGCATCCATATTTTCAATCTACAACCACAAAAAAATTAAATAAACTAAATAGATAACTTTTATAAATTATAATTAGTAATAGAAATTAATAAAAGTATGTTGCTATAATACGATTGATTGATTATCTATTTGATGAAGTAATTGAACTTTTGTTTGAACTGTTGAAGAACGTGTTGGAGAACAAGGGAATGATTTGCTTGAACTTTAGAAACGAGAGTGATTTGATGTTCAATGAAGATTCGGATATGTGGAAAACTAAGGTATGGATCGATACATTGATAGCATACTATATGACTAACGCCTAAAGTTCTTGGAACTAATTTTTTTCGGATTCTACTTTTACATAGTTGCCTTCACTTATGTTGTTGATGTGGACAGGAATGGAAGTGTCTGTTCCGAATATGTGCTTTTTTGTTAGAGAGATGAGTTTGCTCTCGGAAAGGTAATCCAGAGGTGCGGTTTTACCATCGAAAGTAAAATAGAAAATAAGGAGTTTGTTTGTTTAGATGGAATGGAATAAGAAAGGGAATAGGGTGAGTTGTTACATTCCATGATAATGGTTGGTTGGCTTTATAAGAATGGAATGGAGTTTTTATGTTTATGTAAATATAATATATAATTTTAACTCTATTTTATACATTATTTTAATGGTAATTAATGCACTTATTTACAAATATATAAAAAAAATTAACATGAATAAACTTGGTAAACCCTATATAAGTTGTAAGAATATAATCACAAAAATGACCTAAATGGATGATTACATTTAAAAGATTGACCAACTTTTGACCTTTTACCAATCCCACCTAATTTGCTATGGGTCTAAAGATGTGTCAACCCATACACATGGAGGAGACATCATTGTTTTTTTGACAAATGATTACACTTGTCAATTGAGGACATGGTGGTTTGTAGAGATCATTTATTTGGATACATCCAGTGGAAATTGCTTATTTACCCATTAGGTTTTGTGGCATGGGACAATATTCGGCAGGCAGTATAAGCTTCCCTTTATGCTTTTGTGGCCTCAAGAGTCCCATATTGTGTGTTACAAGATCATATCTTACAAGATAGTAGCATATGTGGTGTAGATTATCATTGTGTTTATGTGTTAGCTTATCTTCATGATGCGATTTGAGCTTTGACTTTAGCGGTTTCATTAATAAGGACACCGCCCCTAACATTTCCACATGCATGGGCGCATGACTTTTTTTAGTGAAATTATCCAAGACATGGAAGTGCACTTCGACATGACAGTTAGACATAGAGCAGTTTTTTATTGTCTATGAGCACCACATGCTCATGATTTTCTTCTAGCCGTCCTTATAGATGGTATGGCCAACATATGTTATAGTGGAGTATCGTACCATCCTTAAGTACCACCTTACGATTACATTATTTTCAGGATTATGAGATACACTCAGTTTATCGCAAGACATGCTTAGGCTCTTTTGGGAAGAATATATTACATTGGAGAGAGCTCATGGGATTCAAGTATTGACACAATATTGTTAGGTATATATTTAGGATATATTTAGGTAGGTTGGAGTTTCTGTCAAGAAAGATACACTTGTGAACTTCTTGACTGGCCTGTTGGAAAAAATTCAACACTTAGACAGGCTGACATGAAACTCGTCAACCTCAGACGAATCAAACAAAAAAAAATAGTTTGAGCAACATTAAAGAAATTTAAACTTTAAACCACAAAAAAAAAAAAAAAACAAACACTAAACAAGATGTCTTCCTCTAGTTTATAGTTGTCTTTTTACAGGAGGGATTTGACTCTCATCTTCCCTTACACCAACGATGTGGGATGAAATGAGATTCCTTCCTACGATATGCATTTCAATATTTCAACAGGTATAAATGAATTTCTAAACCAATGTTAGAATGTTTAAACCCGAAACTTAACATAATATATCATGTATAGTTAGCATTACAAGTTAAAGTTATGCGTAAAAAACAACATAGTATATTTTATTAGCTACTTGTTTTTGAGGTTGACATATTTCTCATTTTTATTAGTATTTTTTATCAAACCCGGGGTCATCTGGTTTAAATTCGGAATTTAACATAATATATCTATAGTTAGCATTACAAATAAAAGTTATGCGTAAAAATAACATATTAGTATGTTTTACTAGATACTTGTTTTGATGGTCGACAATTTGACATGATCATATTGATATTATTTTCATCGTATATGATGCTTGTTTTCAAAACAAAACAATTTCTAACCAAATTATACAAGCCACTCGATATCATATTTTCAGTCCAACATCGCATACATGTTACAAAATATTAAAAAAAAACAATTGTTCAAGTAACCCTATTTATCGGCAAAAAGACAAATTGCTATCAAAAATCTCTAAAACTCATTTTCGGGTCTTGTTTCCTCCCACCTCTCCCCCTCCCCCTACCTCTCCCCCTCCCCCTACCCCTCCCTCTCCCTCTCCCTCTAAAAAACGACTTCCCATGCTTCATTTCCACAAGCGAATGCAACAAGTCATCACAAAGTATACACCCAACATGCAACGTTTCCCCATCTTTCAAAGGCGTAGTTTTCTTATTAAAATCAACTTCAATAATACCACTCTCACACTCCTTACATTTCTCCTTGGTTACACTTATCCTATGAGCACCTTCCGGAAGCAAAACAAGACAATTGCACATGTTGCAATATAGCCGCCATTTAGGGGCGCTGACCGGGTCAAGGACGAGGGTCCCGTCACATTCCGGGCAGGCACACACGCCTTGTGATATCAAAGAGTGGCGGCATGTTGGGTGCGGGCAGAGGAAACAGGGCATGCCGACTCCTTTTCCTAGTTTTGGTGAGGTGGCGGTTTTTGGGGCACCGAATAATGTGTCTATGCCTTCGAATGGAGGGTTGTTGTAACAATAAGGGCATAATGGGAATGATTTTCCGTCGGGTCCCGCCATGGAAAATAATAAAAGCTCGAAGTTGTCTAGAGGACATGTCAGTTCTTTGTAGAGCTGTGTTAAATTTATAAAAATGAAAGTAATTATAAAACCTAATTTGATTGTATCAATGTATTTTATATAATTTGATAGGTTTAATATCTCATAAAAGTGTATTTTGGGTATTTTTTCCGGATTAAACATCAACTTTATTTTTTGTCTTAAAAAAGACCGACCTTGCATTTTTACATTTATTCCGATTTGGCCCTTTTAGCAGGATTACTTATAATCTTCCAGATTTAGACGTTTTTTTCCGGAAAAACCTGCACTTTTTTTTCGAAAAATCCCTCAGATATTTTCTTTTTTTTTTTTTGAAAAAAAATCCCTCAACTTTCTTTCCCCTATCATAAAAAAAAAACTTATATATTTGGTTTTTTCCAGATTAAACATCAACTTCATTTTTTTCTGAAAAAGACCTTGCAGTTTTTTATTTTTTTCAGAAAAAAACCCTCAAACTTTTTTTTTCCTAAAAAACCCTCAACCTTTTAATCTGTTCTGAAAAAACCCTCAACTTTTATTTTGACTTTCATAAAAACCCCTCAGGTTTTTTCAGAAAAAAACTGCTAAAAGGACCAAATTGAAAAGGGTTAATCTCATAAAAACTTTATATTTTGTGTGTTTATCTGGATAAAACCTCAAAAAAAAAAAAAAAAAAAAAAAGACCTTGTATTTTTTCATTTTTCCTGAAAAAAACCCTCAACTTTTTTAGTTTTTCTTGTAAAAACCCTCATATTTTACAATTTTTTTAGAAAAAAATGAAAAACTACAAGGTCTTTTTCAGGAAAAAAAAGTTTTTGAGGTTTAATCTGGAAAAAACACAAAATATAGGGTCTTTTATGAGATTAACCCAATCGAAAAATGGAAAAATACAAGGTCTTTTTCAGGAAAAAAATAAAGTCGGGGTTCAATCCCGAAAAAACACAATATATAAGGTCTTTTATGATATTAACCCCGAAAAAATTGTCAAATGTGAGAGGGTTTTCCAGAAAAAAATGTGTCTAAAACCAGAAGATTAGTTGTAAACCTGCTAAAAGGGCCAAATTAGAATAAATGGAAAAATGCAAGGTCTTTACTTAGACAAAATAAAGTTTAGGTTTAATCCGGAACAAACACAATATATGAAGTATTTTATGATATTAAGCCTTTTTTTATATAATAGAGTTTCCATAGAATAGATACCTTGATTGTGCCCTTTTGAGGAACATAATAGACTTCCTCACATGTATTACAATATAACCTTGATGGAAGCATAGAGATGTACTTCATATATCGCAAGCATTTCCCACATTTACTAAGCGCACGTCCCGTGTCAGAAAGTGGAGAAAATTGTGCTTCAAACAACGCATCCATATTCTCAATCTACAATCCATAACTTTTATAATTAGTAATACAAAGTATATGATGCTATAATACGAATGATTGAATTTGATTACCTGTTTGATGAAGTAAGTGAACTTCTGTTTGAACTGTTGAAGAACGTGTTGAACAACAAGGGAATGATTTGCTTGACCTTTGGAAACGAGAGTGATTTGGTGTTCAATGAAGCTTCGGATATCTGGCAAACAAAGATCTGGATCGATGCATTGATAGCCTCGTATAAGACTGATGCCTAAAGTTGTTGGAACTAATTTTCTTCCGGATTCTACTTTGACATAGTTGCGTTCACTTATGTTGTTGATGTGGACAGGAATGGAAGCGTCTGTTCCGATTCCGTGTTTTTCCATTAGAGAGATCAGTTCGCTCTCGGAAAGGTAATCCGGAGGTGCTGTTTTACCCTGGAATGGAATGAGTCGTTACATTCCATCATCATGTTTCGTTGGTTGGCTTTGTAGGAATGGAAATATGGAATGGAGTTTTTATGTTGTATGTAAATACAATATATATAATTTTATTGCACTTTTATTTACAAATTTAACATAATTAAAACTCATGTAATCCATTTAAAAGATTGACCATCTTTTGACCTTTTAACAAAATGACCATTGGTTAAATGCAAAATTACTTTTAACGACAAAAGGCTGCCCAAAAAAATATTTTTTGTTTATTTTATTGCACAAAATGATTTTTTTTTTTTTTATCTTTTAAGGTATTTTGTGGTGGGACCATTCACCATTCATAAAGCAATTCGCAAGTAACCACATTACGAAATTGGTCATTTTGTTAAAAGGCCAAAAAGGTGGTCAATTTGTTTGTTAACAGAATCACCAAGTTTGGTCATTTTGTAATTTATTTTTGGGATAATGACATAAAAGCCCTTAAGTTTGACAGAAATGTGCGGATTTACCCTTTTGTGGATTTTAGGTTCACTAATACCGGATACTTGCATATTTCTGCCAAACTTAAGGGCTTTTATGTCATTATCCCTCTATTTTTTCATTATATTAAGAAAATAAAACTGAAATTTAATGACAAAAAAATAACATAAAAGAAAGTTGCAATTTTCAATTCCATTCCAAAATGGGGAAAAAAACATGAATAGGACAACTAACAAAATAGAAATAATCACATTCCTTCTGGAAGCAAACAAAACAAACAACTTTTTTTTTCATTCCTATGGAATGGAATGAACCATTCCATTCCTTCCCTGATTCCATCATACCAAAAACTACCAAAGTAACACAACCATTAACACAGAAGTTACTATTTATTACAAAAAAAATTGATTATATTACCTCATAGAGCTCAACTTTTAAAATCTCTATTTTCTCCCCTTCTGTAAATTGAGGTAAATTCTTCTCACTAACTGCCAACCATGGCATTATGGCAGTAAATCCTTTCACTGTCACATGCTGTCCAACACAACTGAACAACTCCCCACCAACAGAAAACTCAATTTTCTTCCTATCAACATTAAAAAAATAAAGATTTTAAATAGTGCAATCAATACTGAATCTAATATCTTGAAATAATTAAAAATTGTTTTTTTTTTACCTTACATATTTACAATCAGGAGAGAGGGTACCAAGAAAATGCTGACAGACATACTGATAAAGTCTCCAAGCATCTCCACCCAACATATCTTCATTAGCTGACTTCATAGGGGTAATTGGGGGATGATCACCTACATCAGTTCCTGATTTAGGCTTATGGTAACCATTGGTGAGTAGTGTTTGGACATAACTACCCCATACTGGATTACTCACTATTGTGCCAAGTGTCCCTTTGAAGTCATATGATGAAGGGTATGCTGTACTTTCAGTTCTTGGATAGCTGACATTATTAACAAGTGGATATTATTAATTTGTTATCATTCCTTTTGGTAGCATCCAGCTAATGGTGATATGGCAAATAAAAATGCCAAATCAGCATACAATACAACCGTTACTTGTTAGCATTTATTTCTATTCATCTAATGAATGGATGCTGATTTGGCATTTATATTTGCCATATCACCAATTCACCATTAGTTGGATGCCACATAAGCAAAAAGGTCAAGATTAAAAATTGCTATAACTGGTAAGTACGTTGCTATAAAGGGTAAAAGTTAAAGTGTATTGATGATATTGGTAAAAGAGGAAAAGCAGGTGGCTATTTCTCCCAGTTTGCCTTACCTTGTGTTGATGGTAAAAAGATTATTAAAAGATGATTGGAGGAAGTAAAAATAAAGATAAAACTTTGGTAAAATAATTATTAAATGATTTTGGTGAAAATATCAAATAGATCTTAAAAAATGACAAGATTACCTGATAAAACCTTGGGTATACAAACGCTCAGCCAATTGCATGGCTACATGAGGTCCCAACCCTAATGCACTTGAAGCAACCTGGTTTGTAATTTGTAAATAAAAATATAAATAATTATCATCCACTAACTTTAACATTAAAATAAAAAAAAATTTAAAAAAAAAGGTATTAAAAATTCATAGTACACTTGAATAACATAATTTGAAGATTTTGTTGTTTTCTGACCTTCAAAAGGTTGACTGTATTAAGGCCAGAAGGGCGACCTTTGGTTTCTTGTTTTTCTGAAATGTTGGTGACTTTTACAACAGCATCTTCCAATATTATCTTCTGAAACATCTCTGCCACCTATTATAAAAGTCAGTGGATGGAAAAAGACAGATATACCCTTAATCAATGAAGAGGAAGAGAAAGAGGAAGAGGATCTCACATCATGATCAAACAACCTATTACGATCCCATTCCAGCTTTAGTTCAAAACCATTCTTTATTATGTAAGGAAACACAACCCAAAACTTTTCTGGCTTGAAAGTACTAATTTGAAGGTAGCGTTGCACACAAAATCCAAGTGTAGGAGTTTGACAAGGGCCATATCTGAGAAAAAAAAATTAAAGATATATTACGGATTTATATTTGTAAAGATAGAAGGATTTTCAGTGTTTTTTACTTCAATAGAAGTTCCATCACATCACATGGGTGGGTGGATAAGACTAAGGGGGCGTTTGGTTCAGAACCAAACACCAGAATGGAATGGAATTGAATTCCAGTTCCAGTTCCAGTTCCAGCCAAATCCCATGGAACCCAACAAACCAAATGCCCTTTTAAAGTATGTGATAGAACAGGGTACTTACGAGATAACTCTGGAATCAAGATTCCCATATTTTCCTTGAAAGTAAGTTGTCTGAAACCGTGTAAATGCAACTCCAACTTTCAAATCTATTTCTTGGCGAGCATCTACAGCCAATGCCTCATCTTTATTAGGTTGAACAAGGTTTTTCATAGCATGAGTTATGTCTTTTTCAGTCACAGAAGAAAATCTTGCACGATGAATTCTTCTACCATCATTCGGATGAAATCCAGCACACTCAATAACTGAATGCAAGAAAATAATAAAAACATGGTACCCAAAAAGGATTCTTTAAAAGCATTGAGCAAAATGTTTGTTAGAAACTTAGATTGAAAAAAGAATACCTTCAAAGCATATATTTTCTCCTTCGCGATCACAGTCTAACCACAGAACCAAATCTCCACAACCACGAGCCTCTCGATTTAGATGTTGACGAATATGAGCCTTTTTTTATAGAATATTTAGCAAGAAAGTGGAATTAGGTGATGAAATTGATCAATAGAAAACATATCTAGATTATAATGTAGTTCAAAGAATGAAAGAATGAAAGAAGCAGTACTTTTGGGTTGGATTCTGACTTGAGAACTGGAGCTTGAAAAAGAGTGAGAGGATCTGTAGCTGCCCAATCTTGATAAGTTGGTGGAAAATCTACACTAGATTTGCACATAAAGAAGTGGAGATTTTCAGATGTGTTGAGGGTTTATGGAACTATAAGTAGATTCTAGTTTATCATGATTAGTATTGATGATATATTCTATGAAGTTTTGGAGTAAAAAGAACACCTGAAAACATGACCAATTACTGATGTCACTTTATATTGTACCCGATATCCTAAAAACATTCCATCAAACTCATGAACCTCAGTACTACCCCTTCGTGATGACATCTGCAAAACCAGTATAGGATTCAGAAATAAAGTGAGTAATAATTAATTCCAAAACTCCTTTTTTAGAAATAATAGTCAAAATATCAGAAAGATATTTACAGAAGATAGCTATGTTTACTGATTCATAAGAATTGCCAAAAGAGTGAAAGGCTTGAAGAAGAACTAATACCTCCCATCCCCTTTTTCAAAAGCATAGAATGGCATAGAGGGTATAACTAAAGTCTTAACTACTACATGAGCATGAAGATCCAACACATCAGAAAAATAATAATAAAGGTTTCTTATGGTTTTGAATTTGGATATATCCAAAAGAATTCTCATGTAAAATACATTTGCTATATCATAGTTATGGTGTATAGACAGCAAATCAGTGAAATGCATAGTTTGTATTCTTCCATTTCACCATTTGTATCACCATACCAACTTTACCTCTCATTCTTCTCACTCCCAATTCTAATCAACAGGTTTTCAATGAAGTATAATTACATACAGATAGGAAATACAAAAGATAAAAAAAAAAGAGGATGAATTGTCAATCAATGATATGACTGAATCCTGTTCGAATATATGTTCTATAAGGTAATTTAGCAATCAGAAAAATCATAACTACTCAGAACCATGTCAACTTCGAAGTTACAAAAACCTAGTACAATAGAAAATGCACAAAAAGGAAAAAGGAGTCGCAGGGACTTACTCGACCACCGGAGAGTGCTGTAGCAATCGAAAGTGCGATGCTTGGCTTCTCCGCGACCTAATCATAGAGACATATAACAAGTGAATGAAAGTTGAAAGTTGAAAACCCCTAAAAAGAGCTACGAGGTATTCTCTCACCATGAGTACTTTGGTCGCCATTGTTAGCTTCGTGTAGAACTCTGATGAAAGTCTGAATCAAACGCAACGCCCTCTCAAAATTTCATTCTACAAAAAACCGAACCGGGCGGACTGTCTTAAAGGCCTTTCAGCGGTTCAGCTTGAGATTATAAAACCCAATTGCCCACAGTTCCTCATGTCGATCGGATCGTTAAAAGTAATTGGGCTAACGATGGGCTTTTGCAAGAGAAATAAGTGACCTTCTAAAAATAACATAGCCTCTTGGTTTCAAATTCTTAAACCCTACAATGTATGTGGGAAGGATTTCTCACTTTTTGTGTGTCGCGTCAGTCTTTCTTTTACTTTGCTTTCTCTCACCAAAACCTAAGGTATGTATGGGAAGAATATTTCACTTTTTTTTATTTTTTTTAAATATATTTCATACAATTATAATATTAATTTTGTAGAGAATTAAAAACCATGAATTTTGATATAATTTTTTAGCAGGTATATAATTTAATAAATATTAAAAAACTGAAAAAAAATAAAAAAGAAAAAAGAAAATTCTAACCAATCAAAATAGGAGAGAGAATGCGGGGTCTCTATCCCCTACTCCTTTCCCGCACCTCCTTTCCCACAAGGACGGTGCGGTATTCCAATGTGCGGGAACGCCTCCCGCACCCCCTTCTCACGACGCTCTGTTCGATCTTATTATCTTATATATGCTTCATCCCTTGATTTTTTTTTCATTTAATATATATATATATATATATATATATATATATATATATATATATATATATATATTGAATTCGACTAAAATAGTTAAATACATATCGATTGAAGGCAAACGGGCAACAAGCTGCGCCGCTAGCTCTTTCTGGATGGCAAAACCAATTCTTTTGAAAACAACATTTGTGTAACGACGTAAATTTTAAAACAATTTTTTTTATTTTTCAAACATGATAACACTCATATAATATTCTCAAAATCTCATGTGTCAAATGTCATCATAATAAAACATATCTCAGAATCTCAAAACATAATCCTCTGTCAGTGTGTACAAATCATGTCGGCGCCTTCCCGCGATCCTCGCTGGTACCTGAAACACATATCACATAACACGGTAAGCATAAACGCTTAGTGAGTTGCCCCAAAATACCACATACAACACATAAGCCACTCGAGGCTATAACTCGGTATGACCCTCCGGTCAATGTGTCTCAGCGGGACCCTCCAGTCCCGTAGCTCGTTGGACCCTCCAGTCCGGTCTAGCTCGTTGGACCCTCCGGTCCGGTCTAGCTCGTTGGACCCTCCGGTCCGGTCTAAATCGTTGGACCCTCCGGTCCGGTCTATATAACATATAGCATACATATAACACAATGCGCATAAACTCAAACATACACATAACACATAAGACCCTCCGGTCTGCACATAGATACCACTCTAGGTAATGTATAGTGAGAAGACTCACCTCGGGTAATCTCGGAAAGTCTCGAACTCGAATATCTGACCTAGCATTCGCCTAATCACATAAAGTAATTATCTCTAATTAATACGGCTCTCAAAGGATAGACTAGTCCCTTCCTATATTCACTCAGAAGGGAAAAAGACCATTTTACCCCTCCAACGGTCCAATGTCCAAAAGTTGGTCGAACCCTAAAAGTCAACCCCAGTCAACGGTCCAACTTGACCAGACTCGTCGAGTGCACTCGAGTGACTCGGCGAGTCCATACGTGTCCTCTGAATCCTCCTAAGGCCTCACTCGACTCGTCGAGTTAGCCCTTTTCTCGACGGTTACCATTGATCACGAATCGTGGTGCAACACGATCCGACTCGTCGAGTCCGCTCATGGACTCGGCGAGTTTCATCCATGAGAATACTCAAACGACCTCCTGAGGTCAGATCTGTTTCTCTAACTTATAGATTTGGCCTTCTAACACCCAATAATCACGTAAAGGTCTGAACTTGGTGTCCATGTATGGCATTTTGGGCATGAAATGCCAACAACATGATTTAAATGGGGTTTTCACTCATAAATACCATCAAGGCTGAATAAAGCAGGAACCTTTGGGTGCTAGAGACCTCCTAAGGTCCAGATCTGGAGTTCAAGCCTCCTCATGAACCCAAAATCCTCAAAGTCCCAAAAAGAAAGGAAAAGAAGCCCTAATCTTCAAGATGAGAGATCTACTCAAATAAAAGGGAAAGGTTCGAACTTGATACCTCTAATAGAAGCTCTTGGACGAATAAGCAGTAGATCTATCAACCTCTTCTCAATCCTAGCTTGGAATCTTCTTTTCCTTCACCAAAATGCACTCACAAATCTCAAGTAAGGCTCAAGACTCTCTCACAAGCTTAAGGGGCGATTAGGGTTTCTTCTCAGAGAGGTGTGGCCGCAAATGAGGCTATAAGTGCCTTTAAATAGGTCCCAAACCCGGGGATCTAGGGTTTCTACTTACAGCGGCTACTCGGCGAGTCTACTCTTGAACTCGTCGAGTAGTTCATTAAACTCACATGGCCACCCTGCTTCTACTCGACGAGTTATAGCACCAACTCGTCGAGTAGATCAATGATCCTCAGAAATAAATAATTAAAAAAAAATAATATACCTGAAAATCCGGATGTTACAATTTGTGGATCTAGGAGATATGACATTAGAATGCATGACTCGTTGGACTCTGTTGAGGAGCTCCACCGCCTCTGGTGCGAGAAAACCAAATGTATCGAATGCAAAAGGTACAAACACATGTTGATTTTCTATACATGCATTCTCATGCTTTACCACTTTGCACGCAGCGGCTTTCAAAGCGGCATGCCCTGCTGTGAAACCCCCGCTCCCCAAACCAACGAGAGGAGAGACCCCAGTAAGATCCATGCATGCATGCTTCCCTCCTATCCATCCAAAGACCAAAATGTCAGTCGGTCTAAGTGTGGACCTTCCATCCTGCGGGTCCGTCAAAAAGTTCACTGGCGCTTCTTTCTTCGCAGAAATACCAGCACGCCGACAAAACCGGTAGAAATTAGTTTTGGAATCAAAGTGATTTAAGGTAGAAAATCTGTTTGAGTGAAACTGGTCCGATTGAAGCTGATCATGCAGTTTGGGAGCAGTTTGGAAATGGGTTGGCATATGAAACGTTGAAACAGCTAGATTGAAAACTATTTTGAAACCTACTAAAAGAAAATGATTTTCATATTAATACAAACAAATCGTTTCATCCATTATTTTTATATAATTTTGCTCTTAAATTCCAAATTAAAGATCACAATACAATGAGTGAGAAGGAAAAACGGGCAACAAACTGTGTCGCTAAACTTTTTTGGATGATAAAGTCAATTTTTTTAAAAACTACATCCGTAGATCTAGGGGACATAACATTGGTATGCATGATCCGTTGTAATCTATTAAAAAAATCCACTGCATCAGACGCAAGGAAACCAAACGTATCAAACACGAAAGGTATGAAGACGTATTGATTTTCCAAACACGCTTTCTCATGTTTTATGACTTTGTATGTAGCAGCTTTCAAAGCAGTTTTTCCTGCCTTGAAACCCCCAGCCCTCAATCCCACCAGACTGGATATCCTTCTAAGGTCCACACAAGCGTGTTTCCCTCCAACCCATCCAAAAACCAAAACGTCAGTCGGTCTAAGGGTTGACCTTCCTTCTATCGGGTCAGTCAAGATATTCGCAAGTGCCTCTTTCTTGGTAGAAACTTCGGCGTGCTTAAATATGTTAAACAAAACATCTATAACCATATCGTGTCGGTATTTGAACCCCGGGAGTTCTTTACAATGAACTGTATGTTCTCCAAAAAAGTCCAAACATGTCTTGCAACACACCGGACATATCTCTTCAGTTGGGAATATTATGATCATGAACTACTATTTAAGAATAGCATGATACTTTCTAAAGGTGGTTTTCATTTTATTAGGTCGAATGCTTGAGAATCAGTTTTCCAAGGTCCAAATTTTCTATGGGCTATAATTATTTGTGCATACTTGATAAGGAAATCTCCAATAAAGTTTCAAAATTTTGGTATTGTTTATGAAAAAATCATGGCTTTAGTTTCTGAACATAAATTGATAAAAAAAAGCCTGCTATTTACATAAAATGACAAAAAAAGTATAGTCTTTTACATGTTAGGGGTTTTTTAAGGTAGTCTTGCTAATTTTCAAAAAAGAAAATATTATATTATAAGCTTGTTAACAATAAAACCATTAATAGATTTCATAGACAAGAACAAAAAAATATGAAGAAAATAATATATCTTCCATGTCCTGTCAAATATTTCATGTAAAAAAAAATAATAATAATATATCTTCCATGTCCTTTCAAATATTTCATATGTAAAAAAAAAGCTACATTTTATACTTGCTTAATACTTAGATTCATACTAAATAGATATTAAGTAATAATAATAATTTTAATTTAAAATTATCAAATTATACTAAGACTTTATATTATTAATAACAAAAAATAATATATAAATAATAATAACAAGTACAAATTGTAAATCATGGTACCCAATGACAACTCTTAATATTCTATTTGTTTTGATGTCTTTAGTAGGTCTAGTATTTTCGTTGCATGCTTCTTTATATATTTATCTTTAAAAACAAGAGTATTTTTAGACTTTGGTGCAAAATCTCATCTAATTTTTTTTTTCAAAATTGACGCTTATATCATAACACATATATCTATTTAGTAAAATATGGTATAAACAACTTTCGTCGAAAATCTTTTAGGGGTAGAGTTGAATGGAATAACGAAAGAATGGAATTGAGGAAGTAAATGAATATTATTTCATTGTCATATTTGAACGTGGTGTGATGAATCGTTAGTTGGTGTTGTTTGGTAGATAAGAAAAAATGTTTGAATTGTATAAAATCAAGATAAAACTGCAAAAATGGTCCCTGTGGTATGCATTTTTTCAAGGTTTAGTCCAAACCTCGACTTTTTTGGTTTCATGGTCTTTTTGAGGTAGTTTGTTTGTGGAATTAGTCTCTGTTAAACTTGAAAAGACTAATCTACCCTTTTAATTTGTTTTTCTGTTTTCTTAAACATTTTTCTCTTTTATTTAAAATTTTAAAAGTAAAAACAAATAAAGAGGGGGCCCACC